TAGGCATAGAACTGGATCTCATAGACTTGGAATTGAGGAAGGACGTTGGCTTAATATTGATAGGAGTGAACGTATTTGTAGGCTATGTGATGGAAGAGAAGTTGAGGATGAAGAGCATGTATTTCTTACTTGTACTAGATATACAAAGATTAGAGTGACTCGTAATATAGATGTAGAGAATTTTTATTCTTTATTACAGTTAGTTCCTTTTGATCTAGGTTGTTATATTAGGGACATTATTAGTTATCATTCTAGTGCTCTTGGCACTAGCTAGAGATTGGCCTTTGGGGTCTTTTCCCTTGTTTGTGGTTGTCGCTTGTATTGTGTTTTTGAGCCTTTTGACCCTTTGGGTCCCCCGGGCTTGATCTATTACCATTACCATATTCATCATAATAATCAACTAAGAAACCAGCTAAAATTCTAACTAATGCAACTTTGACAATCAAAGAATCTACATAGATAAGATGCAACAATAACGTTGCATCTTACAAGTACAAAGTTTTGTAACCATATTTGATTAGTTAAAACTATAATAAATATAATTAAAAAATAAAATATAATTATATTATAATGGATTATCTAAAATCGTCACATAAGCAATCCATGTGGAGAATATTTATGTTAATTGACATCAACATCTCAACAGTTTGTACGTTTATTAGGAAATGATTGAACGTGTTAATTAGTGTATTAATTATTAGTAACACGCCAAACATTCTTGTGCTGGTTAAGATTATACACCATATTATCAATCCATCAGAGGTTGAATAGATGGTGGAGGTGAGATATTATCTCTTTGTACTTGTTGATTATATCTATATAAATGAAAATAGAATCATACTAGATAGCTTTTATCTTCAAATGAAATATTCTCTTAATAATGTTACACCCAAGGTATAAATTTACTACTCTAAGGTATGGATTTGTCTTAAAATCGGTATACTTCAAATCAAATACTACTATATTCTAAAGAGTAATATTAGTCTTCACACATTAGTAGCATTAGAGATGACATTGTACCTAGTTTTCTTTTCCCTCATTAGTGAAATTTCATCTTAATACTTGCTCTATCCAAAAAAAAAACCATAAGCTTTTCCATATCTAATGAAGATACCGGTTTGTGTACCGAGCCAAGTTGGAAACAAATAAGAGAAAAAATTTTGCAAATTTTTCATATAAAATATGTATCTAATTTTACATATGTTTGAAAATGTTTTTTCAAGGGTTATCTATTTTACCATGCACTAGATTTTTTATTGCTATCTTTCAAACATGATACTTCTGGTAATTTAAAAAACCTAGCGAGAGTTACTCTTATTTACTAGCGCCCCATCCCTTGCATTGAATTTCATTAGGAGATGATGAGCTTTTGCATATAATTTTTTATTTGAATCTTCCCATACTATTTTCTATATAATTGTCCTTCGGTTAATTTTCTATAATTCTCGCCTCTCGCGTCTTTATCTCATTCCTAGTTATCGCTAAAGTCGCGGGGCTTTAGAATCAAATCGGTCAAATGTTGAACTGAGCTTTTCCACGCCCCGAAGTGTCTTACCAGGTCTAAACTTCCTGACGTCCACTAAGTCCACCCTGACTACGTTGGCCACCGGCAGGGACGCCGTTCTGTTCTACGATTCCAGGGCCCCCCGCTTTTGTCCACTCTTTCGACTTCGGGGCGGAATGGACAGTTTGTCGTGCTGCGGTGAAGGTTAGAAACTCACATGGCGGTAAGGAGCCAATTGATCGATCGATTGAGATAGACCCCGTCATGGATGTTCCGGGATATGATCGAATGTTTGATTCTCTCGATATGGGTTTAGGGTATTATTATTCTCGATATAAATTAGGATTAGTGACTGTCTGGAGTGGGCCTGGTCAGCGTATCTAAGTGGATTGATCAACTGGTTCTGCCAACAAAACACCATCCATTCCGATTACGTCCTCAGTTACTTTTCAAGCACGTGAAGTAGTTTTCTTCTAGATTGCATTCAAGTAAAATATTTTAACACCAAATGGCCTTCGGGGCTTCAAGTGGAATTCATCACCCACGCTAGATTCAACAAACTATCAGCCAACACGACGGTAAATGGCTGGAGGCCCGAAAGTAAAATCCGCCATACTAACTCGAGATTTGTGAATGTGTTTTTATTCAAGGAATCATGTACAACGATAATTTATCACTAATATCAGTAATAAATTATCGAATAAATCTATAGAAACATTTACACACACTTGGCCGGATCATGCTAAAATTATCATCCTACATGGACTTGTTGATGTGGATAGTTTTATATCATAGGTGCAGCATGACTGATTTTTCATGGCATGCTACTGGGCTATAGCCCCTATCACTCTCTTGGTATAATTTATGCAACGCATTATGAACCACGCTTTATCACACTTTTTTTGCCATAGATTGTGTACTTGTGGAAAAAAACCTACATCATTCACACTTTACAAGTGAGGGGAATGTGTCGGAATAGTATAGTAACCAATTGGAATCGTACATGCTTAATGATGAATATGGGTATACTTGACTGTTGTAATCTTACATGGGAAGATTTCTCCACTTTTCAGAATAATAACTAAGATCCTAGCTTTAAAACTGTAAAACACCTAAAATTATTTAAATAATTAAAATTGTATTTAATGAAAAGGATTGAACACAACACTTGAATGCTCAATCTTTCCACAAGTGTGTTTCACTTCCTCCGTCACTCAAACCCTTCATTCCTACTTCCTTTCCCTCATATATACGAGTAAAGAGTACTACTATATAGATCCTCTAGTTCCAAGACCCAAAGATTTACAGTAACCAATAACTTGATGTTGGTTACTGTAATGTTTACTACGACTTGGGTATAAATTGGTTAACATGATATTACTTTCCAGAAATTATAATTGAAGTGACATTGTCACCAATGGCCGCCTCGCGCACTGTCCGAAATATGGATTGCAAGATAACAAGTCCTACAGATTATTGTCTATGATTGATAGATGAACCAAGATGGTGCGCGTGGTCTAAACAAACCATGGCACAATCATCGTAGAGAAATGGAAGCCGAGGACAGCTAATGGTCCTTAGTGACCTTTCTGACAAAACGTTGTTCTCTCAGCAACTTCCATTTCTTGTCAGTCGTGTTTGAGCATCTAGCGGACCTAGAGCAATCACAGATTTAAGTAAACACTCAATTTGAGTCCAGCACATGAATCCTCTCCTCTGGAAGAAATTCCATCTAGAAGTATCCGACACAAGATTGAGTGTGCAAGCCTTGAAGAAATGGAAAAGCCACGGGACTTAATGAGACGACCTGTCCTATCGTTCGTTACCTGATATAGACTCAACATTTGCTCTAGGTACTGATCAGAATACAGAATTAAGGACCCCACGCATGCAATCAGAGAACCCGAAGAAGCCAGAAACTCCAATACAAGTGCGGTCAATCGCGGCCCAAGGGATAGAACCGTAACGAGCAGCCGAGCAGCAGAAAGCAGAGTTTACTACTGGTTTGATTTTGCGAAACCTCAAGTTTCAGGAATGTTAGATTCTTGAGCTGAATTGTAACCTTGGCTGTGAACTAGAGACGAACAGAACACAGTCTGCACTTGATCGATTACGGCATACAGACTATGATCTACTTCAGAACTGCAGACAGTACTAAGTTGGGGAGAATCGAAGAGTCCAAGATTTGGTACATCTTGAATGAACACTGCGATGTCTTCAACATCTGCGCAGCGTGAATTCAGAACAAGAATGTATGCTTCTTTCGATTGGAGTTTATTCGAATCACTCGTGTCGTAGTTCTCATGATTCGAAATCTAGTCAATGGAAGAAAGTTCTGGGCCCTTGGGTGGTCTGCATGTGACTGAGATTTGTCTCTCCATCAAGCCCTGCTTGCACGAGCAAGAACAGATCACTAACGAACCATTCCGTCGGAATTGAAGTCTTATGAATGGGAGGCACACAGATGGGCATGGAAGCACAATTGTTTCCAATCTTTCGTCCATCCTACAGATGCGCCTCTTCGGAGTCCTGTTCACGGAATCAATTCTCCGAGCACACACTCGCTCTCTGTGTGTCGTCACCACAGTGACCTCTGCCACCACTTTCTCGGAGTATGGAGGTTGATATAATAGCTCGGGATTTGACCAGGAATTCAACCACGAAGCGTTTGATTCAAGTGACCAGATGAATGTTGCCGACTTGTGAAGGCAGCACGATAGGCTTCCAGATCCCTGTTGTTGTACATAGGACAGAGGCGACGTCACCGCATGATGTTACCGCTTCCTTACTCCTACTCGGTGATACCAGAACAAAAGAACTGACATCATCGCCCGACCTGACTCGTCTTTCCCTTGTACTTCACGCTTCGAGGTCCGAAATGTTTTTCGGACCTCGAAGAGGTCGGAAGAAGGCGATGGCTTTCGGTGAAAGGTTCAAAATCTGTCTACATCGTGATCGGGATTCCAAGGTAGGGTAGTGAAATGTTGCTGATTTTTCCAGATGGAAATTTATCTCGTATGACAAAACTAAAAACAACTCGAATCCAGAACAAGCTCCTGCCGAAATGTGGAATGCTGTGCGCGCATGTGTTTTAAACTTTGCATCAGCTCAAGCAAGCTTTAACCGGGTTTCGCGGGTCTTCTGAGATTCACTTTGAGAAAGTCATGTCGTTATTGATGGACTTGATTGGACGCAACAATAAATAACTCTAAGCCCACACAAAATAAGGCTCTCCACTGCATTCACCAGCTAACACGACGAGATCTCATATTGTGGTAAGAGAATCCCAAGAGTCACTTCTCATGAATCAGATGAAGAGGAGTTTTATTTACCCATTTTGACAGTTATTGAATATCCCAATATCTATTTTGACCGTCCCAATATCCAAGTATATCCAGGCGTATGTTCTGTCACAATAATAAACTTGTAATAGTCAAGCATAGGCGAGTTGCTGCAGGTGGCTGGGTCGTGATCATGAGATGAAGGCCCTCTATAAATAAGAGTTGCTAACATTGACATTCCTGGAATGCATTGCAAGGCCCTTCACCTTTCTTCTTCGCAGTACGCATTGCTCTTGGCCCACTGTCAGACCCCAGTGAATAAAACAATGGAAGAAAGGATGGGTAGAGGTGTGCCCCTTTTCGTAGAACCTGAGCGTCCAGAAGAAGTGGTCGAACGGATAGTGTATCTGCTGGAGAATGTGAAAGATATCCAACGAAGTTTGCTGGAAAACCTTCTAAAAAAACATGGCGATTGCGAGTATCTCGAAAAATACAAGAAAGATGGCAAAATCGACGTTCAGACTTTCAGGGAGCGAGTTCCTCTGATTACGTACGAGGATATTCAAAGAGACATCCAGAGGACCGCACAACGAGGGAAACATGCTAACATTCTCTGCTGCGAGGAACCAGTTCATTTCCACCAGAGGTTCGTCAGCTCACTCACTCCGCCTTTCATTCCCAGTACTCTGGTCTAGTCTTTCATGGGGGCGACTCGTGGATGTTGCAGCGGCGGAACGTCTGGCGGTAAACTGAAAATGCTACCTGTGACCGGTTCGGCCCGAGAAACGCTGGTCGAGTACTTTGTCATGATCGATGCCTGGTTTCACATGTAAGTAGCAGGCTTTTGCCTTCAGAGATGAAGTAATACTTAATCCGTGTGTACTTGTATATATCTTTCTCCCGTATGAAGTAGTGCTATGAAGTGCATGCTTTTTAGCTCCAAACGTTCACTGGTCTTAGCATCAGAGTCTTTCGACTAAATGAATGAGAAATCGAATATTTGGAGTTCTGGCCTTTGAGCCTCGTTTTACCTGTCGAACAGGAAATCAACCGTGAAGCGAACGTCAGCTGGTGGCATTGGCATGACGTTCTTCTTTGGCGGTGACTGCTTGAAGACTCCAGGTGGCCACGACCTGCTGCTTGTGAGCTCTTGGTTCGTCCGACAATCCATGTCTGCGTATCGACAAACACCCGAACGTTTCGCCTCTCCATTGGAGGTCATCCTGTGCAGAGATTTCGCTCAGTCTGTGTACTGTCAGCTTCTATGTGGACTGATCAGGTCTGCAGAAGTTGCGATGATGTCCAGCTTAATCATAAGTGTGCTTGCCACTGCAGTGACGTTCTTGCAAGAGAACTGGGAAGAATTGTGCAACGATATAAGCACGGGCAAGCTTAGCGCAAGAATCACCGATCAAAAAGTCCGTCGAGCAGTTTCACAGATCTTGCATACCCCGGATCCCGAGCTCGCTGCTAAAATCAGAGCCGAGTGCAGCAAAGACACCTGGGCTGGGATCCTGACCCGCCTTTGGCCCAATTTGAGATTCATATAAGGAATTTGTACCGGGTCGTTGCTGTAGTTCGTAGATCATTTCGAGTTCTTCACAGATCACAAAGTTCCAGTCGTCTGTCTTGTCTATGGTTCCTCGGAGGGAGCCATAGGCATGAATCCGTATCCTGATGCTCACCCGAACGATATCACCTACGTGTTTCTTCCGCAAATGGGCTACTTCGAGTTCAGGAATATCAGGGATTCATCGGTTGTAGAGATCTCTGACGTGGTAGTAGGAGAAGATTATGAGTTCATAATGACCAATCTTTCAGGTGAGTGATTTATCCTGAGACTCGTTTGCGTTTTTCATTCATAAAGCCTTTGAGTTCGGCGGAACTCCCGACTTCCTATGCAAGTATCGACAGATTTATAGCAGGACGCTCAACTTTGAATATAGGACAGAACATGGACAAACGTTGCGCTTTTTTAGAAACAAAAGTTGATCTGATCCTATCACCCACAGTCCCAGAGAGTTGATAACTGTAGGGCAAGAATCAGACAATTATCACTCTACCATAGATGTGAAATCTGAAGGTAGCGCCAGGAGAGATATGGGTCTTGTTTACCAGGCTGAGGCTGGAAGACTAGACTGCAGAGCCCAACATTGGGTGCCCATGCCCATGGGCTTTGGGTAACATTTTTAATTCCATGGGTGGGTAGTATTTCCTGGTGGGTTTGGATGGGCATAACTTTCAAATCGGTAAGAACCCCATGCGCATCAATGCTGCTTGAGACGTCAGTTACTGAGAGCTCGAACCTCCGCCATCTCGAATCCAAACTCTCCACATCCGACGGATCCGACACCGTGAGAGTTGGAATATTACAAGCGAAACCGCGACGTGAATGTCAAAATCGAGTGTTTGCTCTTGACTGAGGAAAAACTATCGTTCCTTTGGTTTGTACAAACAGTACCTTACTCATTCCTTTGGTTTGTAAGATCCTTGTAAAAGCTGTTGACCTTGATTTTCAATCCAATCTTTCCATAACTTCCACCCGCCCTTTTCACTAGACATATTTGGTTGACTCCAATCTGCCAACCCAACACCCCTTGGACTAAACATAGACTTAACTCAAACACAATTTTTGAATACATGGAAGTAGTTTGAATAGCATGGATGGGCACGGACAATGCTATGGGTGGGCAAAGGTCGCTGCTGGTGCTTATGGTCTGGGTATAAATTTGAAGTAAAATGTTGGCCTCTGCTAGACTGCCAGCCTCTGCGACGTCACTATCTGTAGACTAGGTTGAAAGTGACGTGACTTGCAGTGTACAGTCGAAGTGTCGTCACCATCAAATCAATGAGAGGGACACAGGATGAGCTTATTGTGAGCAAGGATACCTTGTTGCAGAGATCTTTAATCTTTACTTCGTATTATTGCAAGGCATAGAACTTGATCTCATAGACTTGGAATTGAAGAAGTAACGTTGGTTGAATATTGATAGGAATGAACGGATTTGTAGGCTATGTGATGGGAGAAATGTTGAGTATGAAGAGTATGTGTTTCTTACTTGTACTAGATATATTGAGATCAGAGTGGTTTATAAAGTTGTTGAGAATTTATATTCTTTGTTTCACTATGAGCCTTATGATTTAGGTTGTTACATTAGGGATATTATTAGTTACCGTTCTAGTGTTCTTGGCACCAGTTAGGGGATTCTTTTGGTTCTTTCCTAGGTTAGAGTTAGTCGTTTGTATTGTTTTTTTCAAACTTTTGACACTTTGGATCCCACGTGGTTGATCTATTTACCATGGAAGCTGCACTATTGTCATGAACATGAGAATGATCAATATGGTCCCAAATCCCCCATGCATTTCGAATGACTGCAGATATAATTTAGATCTCATGTACGTGACTGAAATAATCCACGCCTATTTATGCTTTACATTTTTTTGCTTTACCCTTATTCATGCAACGTGATGACCAGCTTGAAAAAGGTCATTCAGAGAACAAGAATGTGGTTAAGTAAGCGGGTATTGGAGTTAAATGAGAAGCCATTTGTTTGATGATCTGTTTCGCAGGGCTGTGGAGATATAAGATGGCAGATGTTCTGAAGTGTGTCGGCTATATTCATTCTTCTCCAGAGTTTAAATTTCTCGGACGCGAGAATACTCTCGTAAACGTAGCGCAGGAGATTGTGCACGAGTATGAAATGACCTTGGCTGTGGAATCAGCAGCAAAACTTCATCTATTTGCCGGGGCACACCTTATGGGCTACACAACCACGGTCAATGTAAAGTCTTTTCCAGGTCACTATGTGGTATTCTGGGAGCTGCAGATAGAGCATTCCTCTGCGGAAGGTGAACATCAAGAGGAGCTCGAACAATGTTGCTTAGCTATAGAAAATAGCCTGAACGAAAAATATAGGGCCGATAGAAATATGGGCACGATAGCTCCCCTGGAAATTAATTTGGTGAAACCTGGTTCGTTTTCCAACTTGATGCAGCAAGCACAAGCTACTCGATGCTCGACTCAGTTGAAACAAACTCGCACATACAAACCAGACCACCCAGCCGTGCAGTTCCTTTATTCTGCAGCCCAACACAAGTTCAGAAGTTCAAAAGCTCTTACCTTATAAGAATTGAGAATCGGGATCCGGGGACCGTTGTCCAAGTCATTGTTCGGTTCGCGTCCTGAGCTATGAGAAGATGGTTGTTTTTGGGACATATAGACCCTCCCAAGGGCTTTGACTGATAATGATTATCTAAGTATGAAGCTGAAATTAAAATAAATAAAATATACTCGCATTAAAATATATACTCTATACGGGTTTTCAGTTATCATTCACTTTTTATCATCACTCATGCCTGTAACGTTTCTCCCTCGCATGTACGACAGGAAAGTTCATTGCTTCGTGAGAGTTTATTCAGTCAAATTAGTATGACCTTCTGCTTCGAGTGACCTGCGAGTTTTCTTCTCCTCCTTATTCCTCCAACTCAGAACTCGGAGCCAAACCGATTGGAGGTCAGTGATAATCCCTCCAGAGCCACAAACGGCATTTTAAAGTTCAATTATCTCAATTTAGCTGTGACAGGAGAACTTGTAGCACCCTGGACTCACTCGATCCGTTCTAAATAACCAGCTGTTGAGAACGTAGTGATTCCATGTGCAATTCTTCTACAAGGGCGTCATCAATCTGGATTCTAATTTGAGTCTGAGTTCAGTGAGAAGGAAAATGTTATGGGCTTGTTTACCGTGAACGCTGATATTGTATACACGTTGTAGGTACAGTACAATATATAAGCTTTAGTTCAGTCAAGGTTGAGATACTTTATCTGAAACAAGGTTGCACTTTTGGCAACTACTTTTCGCAAAATTTCGAAGTTATCGAATCTCGTGCATGAGAGTTACAGATTTACAAGACTGCACTCAATGTGCAGTCTTGAACAGTCGACAGCTGTATCGAACAGTCTTGACATCTCCACCTGTTCCAAATCCCACAGCGACTCTTCGAGAAATTACTGCACGAATCAACTGCTCATGTGTCCTTCACATGCTTCCTCAAGCCTAGCTGAGACCTGAGATAAGCACATCTGAGGACAATCACAGGGGAACTTTCTGATGAGTTTCAACTTCGTGTGGACCGGGGCGTTTTCTGGCTCCGCGAAAGATCTCGCACAATCTTGCACGCCTCAAGTCAACGTTAACAGTCGTCAAGGGATGAACAGAGATGGCTTCATCTGCGTAGTAGCTGATTCTGGAGGCCTTTGAAGACGGGGTGTTCGAACAAAACGAGAATACGGACTCAAAGATTTTGAAGGGTTGTTCTATTCAGGCTCAGAGGCATGTGACTTTGATCCTGCGTAACATGTCGGGTTCTGAAAGATGTTGACAAAACGTCCGTGGCATAGTTCAAACTACGAACCCGGAGCATTCTTGTATGTATACTCTGCTCTGTGCACTTTCCGAACCGGTACATCTTTACTTACATTTGTACAAGAGAAGCTCACAAGCCGTCCGGTATATAGTCCAAGTACACAGCGATGTCGATATGTATCGACTCACTTAGTTACACAAACTTATACAAACTGCCGTACTGCCAGGTGTCAGGGATCCCAGTTTCTATATACTCCTTCTGTCTGGCTTCATGCGCCCTTCGGCAGCCCTCGACTCAGCTGGATTTTATTTCAGTTTTTCAACAACCATGTAGAGGCAGTCAACCGGATCAAATTCCAAGAACCATGTAGACGCATGTAGAGGCCGACACTCTAGAGGCCGCGAAGTTCCATCTAAAGTAATGTAGTGGAATCTAAACTAAAGGTTACTAAAACTAAAACTAAACAGCAGGAGGGATAGTTCACTTGTATTCCCTAATTCAAACTGTAATATATGTAATCCAAACAGTGATAACATATTGTGGCGACAAAATTTTAGGCGGTAAAGTTTAGGGTTTTTGAAAATAGGATCACATCGGTATTCTCCAGTTCGTCAAAGTTTCGACGTGGCTTATGGATGCCAGTGTCAGTGCTTCAAGTAGCTCGTGCCATAGCTCATGCTTGTATTTTTCTTGTCATTTCAGGTGTTTTTTGCTAGTGGGAATACAACATGAAGGCAGGATGGATTGTGCAGGACCCACTTATGATGGCCCTTTCAATTAGTTAATGTTGAATTGATCAAATGGGGCGGCCTACATCAAAAGCTCGAGGCTTAACAATTTTGTTTCGGCAGAGGGATCTTGTTACAAGACACTTCCACCGGAATGGTTGATAAAACATGGAAATGGAGGTTGTGTTGCTATAGATGGAACGCATGGCACACAAAATTATAAGGTAATATTCTACTTGTCCATTCTGATGTTCTTATCATCAGGCTTCCATGATTATGTATATTCTACCTTGCAATTTGCAATATCTGCAAGATACTTGGAAAAATGACGATTTGGAGCTTTAATCACTACAGTAAGACGTTATTGAACTTCTCAATGTGTGATGTACATATTGTTTTATATACCTTGATCACGTCTAGCTTATCAAGACATAAAAATAGCGAATCATTCATTTTTATCAAGTTTAGCTTATTATCAATAAAGATGAGTACTTTGTAGACCACTCCTAGTAGCAAACTAAGACGATGGTTATTTTTTGCGATGCAGTATCCATTGTACACACTTATGGTGTTTGACGAATATGAACACGAACATCCTGCTGTTTTTGGATGCCTCGAAATAAAAGAAACAGAAGATCTGGTGGAATTATTATCTGCAGTGAAGAAGATGACCCAACATTATATTATTGGATGGATGTCCTTGTGGACGACGCAATCGAACGAAGACAATGTTTGATTGAGATTACACATCAAACGATGATACAGTAGGTATGATTCGCATGAAACCTTTAGCCTTCGTAATATCATCTTTTGGCAGCGGGTAATTATGCCACCTGACTAAATACAAGTCCCCGTCTTCTTTGTGGTTGTTTGAATTATAGGGTGTTACTTATACGGCACCCTACTTGGATTATAGGGTGCCATGTAATTTCTCGGATTGATGTTCTATCGAATATCGATGAGCCTGTCGAGCGCCTACAAGGTCAAAGTTGCATAATTTCTTGAATTAGGAACTGTTTTGAAGAATTTGTGTTTGACGCAGTGCTAACTGCTCTCTCTGCTCACGACAATGTGCTGCGTATGGACAGTTGCCGAATTGTAGGAACTTCGGGGAACTCTGTCCCTGCTTGATCGGATGTCTGATGTACTGGTCGTTGAGGAGCTCCTATAGTCGTGTCAAAACTTTTTCCTCTGTTTCGGATACTTTTTACTCCTTTACATCGAAGCCTAATTTCAAAAATTAGATGTGGCTATTTGGATTATAGGGTGTTACTTCTTCGGGTAGGTACTGAAGAATGTGTGGCAGTTCTCGTGAGCTTTACTGCATATTTATTGCTGTAGAAAAGACTTTTAGCTGCCAGCTGCTATCGATAAAGATTAGTCGCAGCTTTCGGAATCACTTCTTTCATTCTAGCTCATAATTTTTGCAGAAAATAGCTAAGTCTAGGTCAAGGCCTTAACAGCGGAATGAATAGAATCAAGGGAGAAACCTGACATTTGATATATTTACAAAAGTTGTTGTACATTGGTTATACTCCTTCTTGCTACCAGAACATAAAACCTTGTTCGATGAGTTCTTCATTCGAGCACCTCTTAATGAAGCAATACTAGAGCTGATACATGCATTAAGCCAGGACTATTTTGTTCCTGTTAGAGATGAGCATCTGGTTTCGGGTTACGGTGATGGAGTTAGCGAGGGTATTATCAACAGTTAATGGGCAACAGAACAGTTGATGAAACAAAAACAGTTGATGGGCAACAGAACTTTAGTTCAATACTTACCAGGTTGTCAATCATCCTGTTTTGAAATCCTTCTCTAAAATCCTTCTATGCTTCGTATTCTGTTCGGGCTTGCACTTGTAGAATGATATTTCCAGTGCTCTTTATATCCGTCACTAGGTTTTTCATAGGTTTTTCATATTGATTGATTTATCATCACTATCAACAAAAAAAGGGGAAAAAAAAGAACGACAGTATGAGAATCTGGATGGGATGTATTGTCTGTTCCAAACAAATCTACTATATCAAAGTCGGAGATTGCAAGACACACCCGAAACGAATAATTTTTGGGATCAATAAATACAATCTTCCGAGAAAGGGAGGAAGATATACATGATTGAAGAGAATTGCGACTCATATAATACCAGGAAATCTGCTTGCTTGCTACAACTGCTCAGCTGAATGATATGCTTTCTCTCGAAGTGAAACATTCTTTGGGGGTCACGTCACAACGACTTGTGAAGACAAAAAATATGTCGAATATAAACACTGTCCACGTTGATATTGCCGACAAGATGAGGTTCTAGAAACTCCCATATTTTAACTCACTTATGCCCGGGTGTCTATATTATTGACGGGAGAGTGCAGTCTCTGATGATAATACTAATTTCTGTACAATGTCTGAAAAGAAGGGAAAATATAAAAATTACTCATTTCATGAGCAAATTTCAAGCACATTGTACTTGGGCATTATTGCTTAGATATAACTTACTCTTTCAGGGCAGACGTGCCTACATTCATCCGTTGTCCCTTCCAAATCAAATCCGAACCTCAATAGAAGTAAACATGATCCGATGAAATTGTACAAACCATTTGATGAACACACCTCCAGATGGGAACCACAATCCACGCAGACAAGCCTTGGAAATATGATATGAAGATCAAAAGAGTTGGCTTCCAAAATTGAGCTGATGGAACAGCAGGTGAGAAGGTTGGCCATTGTTTATACAGCTTCATCCGTACTTCATGTAGCATTTATTCCTTAACGACTTGATATATAATCTTTCTGATTTTCAACTCCTGTTCAATGAAAGATAATGGAGATTTGAGTAAAAAATCGCAACAGGTTTCGGTACTTGCAATATTTGTCAATTGGGGCATCATAGTCATAGCTTGTAGTAATGAATGAACCACCTGATGTCCACTCAAAGTTTGTGCCTTCAAAATACTGCAATCCCCATAGATAGTATCACATGCGGAAAGAAACAATTTCTTGAATAAAATGAACAGTCAAATCTTCCCTCCAGAGCGTGCCAAGCAAGCTGCAGTCTTAGGAAACAGGGACTCCAACACATATTACTGAACATAAAACTCACTTCGAGCACGTTTTGAGACGTTGAAGCTTACTCCCGTCAATACTATGATAAGGCATGACTGTACTCTTCTCAACTAGATCAAAGTCTGGAGAAGACTACTTCAATGTATGGAGAATGATTCAAAAGGCCACGCAGATTTTTGGAATGATATAGACTACTATTTGTAGGGCCTTGGACTAAGAATTCAGTTTCAAATAACTGCGTCCTCTCTTTCACACAATTCTCTGTGTAATTCCTGTGACGAAGTCTTTGTCAATATCATGTAGTAGTTCTGGAAAGTGCCTCCTCTTTGATAAAATTGGGCCATGGCGAAGGCATTTTCTTGGACTGGCCTATGTGGCACAAGGCCTCCCCAAAGCTGGTACCTGTTCAAAGGGCCAGCATGCATATCTCTGTGTAAATCATGTGAAGAAGTTCTTCATGTTTCCATATTTCAGGAGGTGAGTATGTTGACAGTCTGAAGGCTTTTTGTGAGATCAACTAGTAAGATTGATTGTCACTGGATGTTACAATCGTCAGAAATTAATGGGGCAATTCATGGATTTGAGTATAAGTTTTAGATATTCATTTGAATACCATCACAAGTACATAACATCCAATTGATTAGTTTTGTTGAAATAGAAATACCAGTTTTGCAAGTTTCACTATCTTACCAGATCCTATGTTGCTTGTAAAAGCAACATAGGATCTGGTAAGATAGTGAAACTTTACAATCAATTTACTTTATAGGGAAGCTCTTATATGATACCTTGGAATCTGTTAGGAAGAATCGTAGAAAGAATAAACGCGCGAGCCAAGTAGAAAGAATAAATACACGAGCCAAGTACTTTGGATCACTTTGTCTTTCCTTTTAGAAAAAACTTATATACGCTTTAGCATACAATTAGCATGAACTCAAGTGAAATCATTTATTATAATTTGGATTAAACTGAGCTTTTGCGTGAAGAGCAAGAGTTATACATGGATGCTGGATAAATTCATACTTTGATCAAGCCGTTGGGGAAACACTTTCAAGGTGACCGACGCAGTTTCAAGTTTCAGTTGACCAATTCTACTGTGAGGAACTATGGTCGTAAGTATGACGTCGAGCAGGTTGTGAGAATAGATTCCCTCCTAGTTAATGACGATGGATGCCCAGATGTTCTTATGGTTCAATCACTTCGATGCTCCACCGGAAAACTGAGTGCCAATCAGGAAGCTGCCCGGTTAGCCTGCCCGCACATTTTTTCATCTTTGGTCCAAAAGAGAAGAGTCGCAACGAAAAGAAGAACTCCCGTCCTATATATAGGAGCTGTGTATAAATTTGTGCAGCTAAACCCATCCGATATGTATGAGTAGTTTGCAGGCCAGGATGAAACTGAAGTAACAAAATTGAGTACGGATAGGAGAGAAACACTATCGTAAATTGCATGGAAGGATGCGATAAAAGCATTAACCTCTTCGTCGTGTACAGATATCGTGCTTTGAAACTCTGTGGGTGATCGCAACAAGTACTTTTCCGGCATAGTATTAAATGACTATATCTGATGCTCCTTGCTGTTAGACGTAAGTAGTTAAGCCTTTTTGCCGCTACGAACCTAAGAAAAGAACCTACGATCCTCAGAACTGTTGACTGGGATCGCTGTGTATCTGGTTGACGATATGCTGTCAAGGCATACTCCAGATTTCGGTAAAAACTTTCACACACACGCGAGCGTATTGAGAGCAGTAGCCAGCTAAACGTTTTTCATCAGTCCTGAAAGCCACGCGAATATTCTTTCATCACTGTACTAAGACATTCTTTGAAGAGAAAAGAAACTAAAAATGCGCTTCTCTGCGATTGCCGACGAATCAAAGTATAAAGTAAGTGTCAGCAAATCTAACTTTGACGAGTTGTGACTCCATGACTCCGTCTTCCCTTGCAGCTATCAAGCAGCAGTGTCTCTGCAGTCGGTAGTTCGTCTCCTGCACGCTCGACGTGTGACTGTTAGAACTCCACTTGAAATAGTACTGTCTGCTTGCTGACTGCCTTGCATTCAACTCTTGACTTTGGATACATACAGACTGAAAAGCGCGTAAAATTGTGCAGATGTTGAAGGGGAGGTAGTTCAAGAGCATTGGATTGAGGAATGCTTTCCGGTAGATATGACTATAGAGAAGACTTCGTCTATCTCATATAGCCAATTAGGAAAAAGAAATTATCTTATAAGAATTCGGGAACAGGACCAAATCTGGAACCCAGGGATATCTCGTTGCATTGTTCGCATGTCGAAAAGGACGATTAAAATTGAGGCAAACTTTCAAAAACATCGACTAATGCCACGTTTGTCATCACTATACGTGATGAGATGAACTCTACGTGCGTTGATAACTATATGGAAAGGATGAGAGGAGGTAAAATTAAATGAGTACATAAGAGAACCATTTTGACTGCCAGTAAAATGATGGTGGATGACATCATTTCAGGTAATTCGGCTGTGCTTCAACGATGGCGAGAATGGTGTTGAAACATTACCACCATGCTTTCACATAGTTCGTCCAGCCCAAGAGAGAGAGCATGCGAAATGCTAGTCGATTGTAGTAATCCTCGAACTGGTTTTCTGCCACAAGTCCGAAAGTGACAATCAAACAGGTCTTGCCGTAGGATAGCGCCATGGAAGAGTCAAAAAAGGGCTAGGTGCAAGGTCAAGCATGGCGAAACCTCGGACAACGACAAGGATTCACACGGGTGAAAATGTCAAAATTGAACACTCATTTTTTAACATCATTTCCTGTAACAGTGCATGCACGACAGAGGATAGAATGAGAACGGCCTGCCTTTTGAGTGCAACTTCATCCTTCAAGGCAAGTTGTTTGTGCTGGAAAATACAAATAATCCACATATTTCTACATGTAAGGCCCTGTAAGTTGATGCGTGCGCTAATGGCGAAAGCAGACAAAACTAGAGAGAAGCCTATCCTCATCAAACAAACAAAACAGTCCGTATATAGACGAAAGCTCTCTACAGGCGTCGTCGGCAAGAGCAACTCCATTATACTGAGGAGCTTACAATCCTTTGAAAATTCCCACCAACTCCCACGCGAGACCAAAGCCAATGGGACAAACAGGTGATGGATTCACAAACTTTCTCAAACCTGATTCTTAGAGGGAGCTTAGATTAGAGCTCTTTACTTGCATGAAATTCTCTGAAGGCACCGAGTTCAATGAAGTCTAACTACACCAGAAGATACCCCAGAAGAAATAGACGGACCCAAAAATGCCTGCAGAGACCTTCGCCTCAAATATGATTACCAGGACTACCTCCCCTTGTCACCCTACCATAACTAGCTAATGAACACAACTACACGCTGCAAGATTCCACAGACGAGTCCACCTGGTCAAGACAACTAAAACCATCTGCAAGACTTTTCTGGTCAAAACTTCACTCGTAAAGCCCCTCTTGCTCCCAAACGTCAACCAGGAAGTCCACCATTTCCTGCATATCAATGTCAAATGACATAAGTAAGACGTTTTATATTAAAAAGCAATTGATTGCTCACATAATTTGCATGGACAACCGCATGGATGCATCTACATGTTCAGGCTTAGAGGGATGTAAAACAGTACTCCGCATCGCAAGAAGTCCATGATGTATCAAAAACAAAATTTGAAGAATGAATCCATCGGGTATGCTGGAGGTGGAAAAATTGCATTCTACAAGGATGGAAACTTCAGATACATGAAAACTTGTAGTTAAGAAAAAACCTTAAAGACTATGTAGGAATAAGAATACCACTCATTTTTCCAGATGGAAAAAACACATGCAATAGACATTCGAGATGACACAGTACACACAGGAAGAGAGAGAGTCAAGAGAGTAGGAGCAACAAATGAGTAGAGTACAAACATATGCAATGCAAAACATACAAGGCTCAAGTGTTGATAGATATATTTCGCAACAAAAAAATTTGATTGTTTTTTCGTTTTTATGGTAACAAAAAGAAAATAAAGATGTATATAGAAAAGGGAGACGTAGTGCGCGGGGAGCGTGTTCGGGTATCGTGCGCAGAAATTGTAAAAGCCTAGTACTAGTACTCAGGACGAACGGTATGGACTACGATAAAAATTTTAAGGCTTGCCCAGATAGAGAAGTGTAAATTAAGGACAAGCAATTAAACAAGCAGGGTCGGAAGCAATTCAACTCGCCTCCGAAGTAGTTCAAGAACGCAAGGGGACCCTAAAACTGTTGAAGTTTGTTGGAACGTAACCAGAAACAGATATGCTATCTTAGACCCTATTGATGCTAGATAGAGGTCCAGGTCGATAGAGCTCAGGTGGTTCAAGCAAAGGACAGAAAGTGTTTGTCTCATTGCTTTGTGTCCGAGCGGTTAAATCATATACGCAGGAGAAGAGACATATGGATGTCCAGATTTACCATTTGATAAGTTTTTCACATGGGTACAATAATTTCTATTAGATTGTGTTAAACACCTACCGGTAGAGGAACAGGCTGGGGAAAAGGACGGCTGGTGGCAAGCAAATCCTCATACGTTGTGCTCCAGCTGCAAAAGTACAAACAAACAAACAAACTCCTGTTAGATATAAACAACAGATAATCATGTTCATGAATATTTTATCCTTTGATGATTCTATGTTATTTATATCCCTGATGAAGTTCATTTTTGTACAAATGCTATGATATTTTATTTATTTGAATTTCTAGATAAGTTTATTTCGATTAACTTAGTATAAGAGCTAGTAAAGTATAGCCGGGTGACTGCGGATCCAAAGGTGCTGGTTAGATTCCCCATACTAGCTCTTTAACATATTTTTGAACACTACGTTGGTCATCACTAAATAAATCATGAAAACATCTCTATCAGAATAGATGAAGGCAAAAATCAAGAGAAGACTGCAAATGGGCTTTAACGTAACCTTATGACTGGCTCTCGAGGCTGAGCAACCCGATGTCGAGGCCGGTTTCCGATCCATTCTCTTCTTCGTTCGTTCCACAACATCAATGCTGATTCAGGCATTCAAAACAACAACAATCAGAGAGTTATTCAGGACCATTAATTTTCTGGCATAACAGAATTTCCTGGATTTGCTCGTTGAACCCATATAGTTACCTTCATCAACCAGTAGGAAGCTTCCTCAGTTCGAAACGGGCAAATAGTGAACATTATATTTGCTAACTCCTATGGACCGGGGACCTATTTCTGGAATGACGTGCCTAAAATTAAATTTCCCAAAGTGCAGATCGCAGAAGACTTGAGCGAGGAGTTGGTAAACAGAGGGTGATCGACCATCAAATGATGTGGATGTTTCTCAGCCAAACGGATTACATTCCTAAGCAAGACTGTAAGGAGAATACTTAGTAAGGTACAAACGAACCATGATTCACAAAAGTCGAGTTGGTGGAATTGCTTGCGATTCCTCTGGGCTCTTGTTGATGATTAGGTGTGCTCACGGTCGACGTATTCCTTTGCAAACTACGAGGATTGGTTGAGTTGCTTTCCATCTCATTGGAACTTGAAGTCCACCAGTCCTTCTTCGGGGCGTGGGTCGTATGCCCACGTCCCCCTTTCTTCAGCAACTTTTGCTTCTTCGGGTGTTTCTCTGACGTGATTACCGGTGGGGGTTTGATACAACCTCCAACACAACCACTGCTCTGTTGCAAATCAGGTCCATAATCACAAGACAAACAACACAAGGAAAACACTTCAAGACGGAAACTTCGAAAAATGAGAATATATTTCATTCGGTACTTTCAACATCTGGACGAAATAACTGGACAAATATTTCTAAATCATGAGTGAGGAGCAAACACAACTATTCACAATTGTTGACCTGCACAGTGAAGGACTGACCAGTAGGGTTTTTATCAAGCTCAACGCGCCATAACTAAGCTATCAAGTGTTCCCTATATTGTGCCAAGATAAAAGTTGCTCCTCCAAGAGTTTGTCCCAGCAGCAGCTTTGGTGGGGTGACAAGCACACATCAAAGTTGCAAACAGTTTATTTAGAAGCAGCACCTTTTCAACCTGTTGAGGCAAGAGGATGAGAGGTGTTTAACAGAGTCCAGTCAAATGCATACATAGTTCTGCAACAAATATATGGACTTAGTCTCTTCTTCTGAGTCTAGGATAAGAAACCATTTGCTCACAAGTAAGTTGGAACAAAGCGAATCTCGATAGCTGAATTTGACAGAATCTTTAAGATTTAATTGGTTTTATAAGTTTCCTGTCACTACATTTTCTTCCTCTACTTTCAAAATTCAGATACGGATAATTCATCGTCCTGTATTATTACGACTCTCATGACGAGACTAACGACGAGTCGTCATACGTTTTCTCAAACTAAACAGAGAGTATACTTTCCATCAAAGTATATGCTCTAAAATTACCCAAGAGGTTATCGAAGTATTGATAATAAACGTGTAACCATAGTACATCCAAAAGTTGACAAATGGCATACAACCTAACAAATCTTAGGGCCAAAATTCATTCAAAATTTCCAGTACTTTTGGTGCACGAAGAAACAAACAGATGAAAGGGGAATAAAAGGCTGATACTACCTTTACTCATGTTCCTGACTAAGAGAAAGACTTTATCAATATGACTACAATTTCAGTTAGAACAAGGTGGAAGAACACACACCCCATACATGCGATTGAACCACTGATAAACGATGCAAACGCTCCAGCAAATGATGACAATACGAACATAAGAGCTGGAACACTTTTAGATATATTCTGAAGTTGCTGAGACGTGGTCCAAACTCATCCTCTAAGAAGCTTCTCCCGGGTCATCGCTGAAACTGCATCACCAAAACATGTCAAGTACTTGAGCTCTCTCTTACTCTACTTATCTTCGTCCGTGTGCAAAGGACCGACTTGGAAATTAATTGAATGCTTCTGTTCAAATCACACATAGAACTCTACAGTAACTTCATGATACTAGAATCAAATCATTGAGCATTGGATTCCAAAAACTCCCAGAAAAAATGCAATAACCCACGATCGCCACATTCAGTAAGGATTCCCCGCTGCGTAACCTTCACCCTCAAGAAGCGTGTAAAGGTGGAGAGAAAGGGCTCTGACAAGGGCACATATTTTTGAATATTACTCAAACAAATTTCACCCCAAGAAAGAAAAAATCGCTCCACGACTCTGTCCGATTCCGACTACGCCAACCTAGGCTAGCAGACGTAATATAGATCAAGAATGAGAACTATAATAGAATCAGCTGCTAAATCGTACAAAAGTTGAACCAAAATTTGATGTATCAAGATCTCCTGAGCTTGTACGACTAAAGAGGTGGTCGGGTGTCGAGTTTCGGGAACTAAAACAAACACAATTTCTACCACTCGGCACTCTTTAGATGCTAGAACCTCGAATGTAATTAAAGGAATCTATACATGCATGGAACTAGAACCTTCCGCACTACTAACCCTCGTCGCAAAGTTCCTCCTTGGATCGAACGCAAAAAGTAAAAACCATCGGGAAAGCGACAACACCGCCAACACCCATAACCGTTGAAACATTCGAATACCTCACACGATAAGAAATTCTCAAAATCGATTGAACATCTCTTAACTTCGATATACGTTTAATCTTCACTTCGACGACTCCATTGCGCCTCAAAAACTCACGACAGAGAGTTGCCTGGCCTTCGTGTACTAGACGGTTCATTGAAAACCCTACCCAAGGCTCTACGTTCTTAGTCAACAAACCGAACTTTGGTGGTTCGCCTAGAATCTGCGAACTTCACCATCTGACCCTTCGGCTACAAATTTCAGTAGCATGTCTGCAAGCATGCATCATACGCAAACACCGATAAGGATATTATCTTCTAAACCTCTGCTGGAAATGCGTGGAGGATGCCAAGAGTTCGTAAGAAGATATCCTCGAAATCTCAAGGTCACGGATGCAGCGGGAAGAAGAAGCACCTCATGAGGCAAGCTCAGGCGGGAAAGCATCGTCCTACAAAGAATAGACAGAAACCTGAAGCCATGAGGTAGTCTGTGATGGTGAAATAGGGACTATGTACCTCTACTCCACGTGATCAACACTATGAGGTTTTGAATTTTTCTTCGAGGAGAGAATTCGCTAGAGACGGAATCAAGAAGAAGAAGAAAGCATGGACATTACTCAAGCGAACGCGTCAGAACCTTACTTCGCACTTGAAGGCTAAAGAAGATATGGCTGAAACCATGATCAGACCACCAAACTAGGAGTCATTCGAAGAATCACCACCACAACTTCCACCAAGCCAGGAGAAGGAAAGAAAGAGACTGAGTGCCAAGGGTCAAGGGTCCACACTGCGAACGAAAGATCTCGAGAGCGAGCAGGGGAGTGCGAAGAAATATCAACAATCCCGCCGGTTGTGCGGAAATAGTGCCAGCAGATGAGAAACGCCGATCCTCGAGAGAGGGGCGAAAGGGGAAAGACGACGCGACAAAAAGGGCTGGAAACCACCTAAAAGTGCATTCATCACAGTACACTAGTGTTAAGAACAAGGACCCGGTGAAAACGCACACAAACTCACCTCACATCACATTCTTCTCCCCATCCCAGTCCCCTCCCCGTCACTCGCTTTCTCCCTCTGGGCCTCCCCCGGCACTCACTCTCCCTCTCACCTTCCTTCGGGGTAATCCAAGGAAATCAACCCCATCACAACCCTCGTCTGCGGACGCAGCCAGCATCGGACAAAGCCGACGAAGCGGCCAACGACGACGCCATATCTATGACGTTTGTTTTGCTCGCCATGTCCTTGCTCGCTCCCTCGCTCGCTTCCTTTCTCCCTTCCTCCCTCCCTCCCTTCCTTTCCTTTCTACTGACGCCGGGCCGAGACAGGCCCAAGGAACCGCGGCATGTGTCGCTAAATCCTCCCTGCCGCTCCTCTTCCCCTGCAGCGCCCTAACGGACTTCTTTTCTTTTGTCGGCCCGGTGCCCCACGGACTCTCTCCCTCCCTCCCCCACCGGCACGCCTCGATTCTTCCCGGTCACAAACAAGTCGGCCGCTCCTTTCGCATCCTTTCTTTTCCTTTCCTTTCCTTTCCTTCGCCGGGAATGATTTCAGCAGGGACATCAACAGGCTCGTCATTCCTTCATCCATGCCGCACCCCCCCATGTGCTTATCTACAAACTCCATTTCTTAATCGCCTTCCCAGTGCCGGCTTTCCTCCTCCTCCGGCCGTGAGAGCGTATGATTGCAGCGGCCATGCTCCCGCGGAACTCATCTAGAACCGACTTTTAAAATTCCTGTTAGGGGTGAGCAGGATCGCATGGCCCGAAGACGAGGGGGTAGGGTCTTCGCTTCATATGTCCGAGCTCTTCATTAGCTGTAAACTCTCGACCCAACTGGTCAAAAAGCATGCGCGGTTACTGGTGACGCGTGTTGCTGGCTTGTCCTCGGTTGACCGCACTCACCCCGAGGCCGACGACTGGAGTTAACTCGATGCGAGTTCGGCCAACTCGGGTTCGCTTGTAGCCCAAGTGGTAGTCGTTGTTATGGGTTCCAGGGGATGGAAGGGAATCCCCGAACTAGATAGGATGAACTCTCCATTCTTCGACGGACGGACGGACGGACGGACCGACAGACAGACGTGGATCTACCGCAAGATGTTTGTTGGTGATGTAATGGATGGAGTGGGAAGGGTGAGATCTCCGTTCCAAGAGTGAGATCTGACCTCCTAGTGAATCTTATGCATGATGGACAGCACGTGGTCCGCTGGACGGAACCTTCTGCGCCTCGTAAGTTACGGATGTGTTCCATTGAGAGATCAAGGACCTGCTCCGGATAGAGGACGAAGGTCGACGAACATACGGAGGACGGACCGATTCTGCATTTCTGACTGCGGGCCGAGCTCTGGGTTGTTCTTGGCGGAGATTCCGATGGGATCCGTGACGTAGCCTGCATGGACTCTCTCTGTACAATTATCCCTTGTGGGCATGTTTTTTAAAGCTGCAGTCATCTCACGGGATTCCCACCGCCGGGCGGGCGGCGGGGGGCGGATATAGCCTCGATGGAGCATGCTCTCCCCTCTAGGATCATCAAATTATTGAACCTTTCAGCAACGGCTTCGAAAGTCCGTGCTCAACACTTTTTAGCGTTTACGAAAAGGTAAATAGATCAAATGGCATTTCATCACACGAGCCCAGCTGAAAGAAGTTTCCTTGAGAACCGATCAAATGGTTATGACTAAATGTATTGAAGTATGAGCGTAGTCTGAGTAAGTAAAATCTTCACCTATCTTTGGTACGTTCAAAATGACTTCTTGGCTGATTTGCACTATAATAAAGTATGAAATTTTCAGTTTTTTGGTAGACACTGAGTAATATTTAAAACATTTAGGTACAGAGTTCAATTGAGTAGCTACAGGATTGTGTACTTGCCATCCTTACCACTGCCAGTGGTTTGCAATTGAACACATGATTTCAACCAGAAAATAACACTTAAACGAAGTCCAAAATATCACTACAAATTGTGTGAGGGTTTTTTTTTTTTCAAGAAATTAGAAGGAGCCTGTATCCAGCAAACATATAATCAACAGTTTATCTTTTCTAAGAGCTTCTACCACATAGAAATTTATAGTAAGATTAGTGCGCGCATTGAACTCACACATGTACACATTTTACCATCTTATCGATCCAAACAAAAAGTTTCTTCGTTCTGAAAGGAGAAGGAGTTCTTGAGATAATATCATAATGTGTGATTGAAGTTCTACAAGTACAATCATTCAAGCAAATAAATAGTTCGTCTTTGTTGCATAATTTAAGTACATAATATCCAGGGAGATTTATGACAATCTCATTACTTGTGCTCGGCCGCCACCATTTACATCGGCTTCAGATTCATATTGGAGAGATTCTAGCAGGACGGTTTGCATAAACGGAGAATGACAGCCCTCGATAAGAATTTGAATTTAAGTTATATACCTTTCAAACTTCTTTGTTTATCCTAGAAATTGTAGGCTATGTAGTGATTACGACACGAAGAATTCTCTTACAAAAGGAAAATTAAGCCCTCGATTATAATTTGATCTAAATTTACACATCTTTCAACTTTCTTTGTTTAGCCTATCAACTGTAGGTTATGTGGTGATTGCGTCACCACATAAACTAAACTCTATAGACTACAAATCTCGTTAAGATCCCTTACACTCTTACACAAAAAAGGTAATGCATGGAGTACATATATATATAATTTTTCTTCTTGACCATTTTATTTTGGTGAAAGCTATGGTCTATTTCTTACTGTTAAGCAATATACGATAAACAAAGGAATAGGGTACGAAGATATCAATGTATGACAAGTTTTGCATTACAAAATTTGATTTGAAAAAATGTTAAATGTAATGAGATGTATACATACAACTAAAATTTAGATCTTAAAAATCACAAGGTGATTTATAAACTGTTGATATGTAATATTTGTTATTTTTAAAAATAGTTAAAGAATATTTTGGGTCAATATCATTAATTTTACTCCTCAAAAGCTCAGTTCAATGTGATATCAAAATCCATATAGAGTAAGTTCATTTTGCACACTAAGAAGTTCATTTTTCATTAGTTCCTTGCAATATTTGAATTTTTGTAGATAAATAACCAAGATATTAAAATCAATCTCGTCATATAATATACTTGTCATTGATTAAAAATCTGTCCTTTCAAATATATTTATCTTATTCGAAATTTATCTAAAATAGATATATATATATTCATATTTTTTTAAATGAATATGAAAATTCTTATACATCATTCATGCTAAACAGTTTCCTCATCAAAGTTGATCATATTTTTTATTATATTTTATATATCAAAATTTTGCATAATTGAACAATATAAAGTGAGAAAAAATTTTTATGTTTATATAACGAAAGAATTATGAATCAATTCTATAAAAATCATAAATTAATACAAAAAAATACTTTTTATGAAATTTTGATAATCAAATAGCTCATATGTTTATATATATATATATATATATATATGCATTAAAGTTGATACTTATCATCATCATTTTGAACACTTCTTCCATAAAGCGGTGTTGTCCATTGTATTGGCATCCAAAATAGTAAAAGGGCGTAAAAACCTTTAAAAAAAATTTAAGTTCATATTAAAGGATCGAAATTGGTATTGGCTAAAAAATCAATTTTACTAAGATGTTTGAGTTAAAAGTTTTAAGTATTGAAGACTAAATGAACAACTTCAAGCTATTATCTTCTTATATTTTCAATCGTTTTCTTCACCAGAACATTCAATCGGCAGGAGCGACGGGCAATGTGTACAAAGGGCAGGGACGTAATCAACTTACTAGGAATTCCTCGTTGCAAATCAATAATTGCAATGATCTATCCACATATATCGAAAAACACCTAATTATATCTTAATGAAATTTCAGGCGTTAGAAACCCAAACCAAGCTATATTTTGAAAGAACCACTCACTCCAGATAAATCTATTGGTATGAAAATGATATATTTTAAGTACATGATGCCAAATGGGTAACTTGAATCGGTGATTTGAAAAATAGTATTCACATGTAGTGTTGTCATTTAAATACAATGATGTTGAATGTGTATTTGTGCTTGATTCTGTTGACATTATAGGTTAAAGAGGTTTAGAAGTATCGAATGATGGAGATATTGAGGTTGGATATACAACTTAAACTACAAATGTGTTTCTCGGTATGACAAGATTTGCAAATCTACAAAGGTATGTGTATATATATATATATACCACAATGGATTTTCTTACGAACCAGCTAGAATCTTAATGGCAAATATATGCATCCATAGCAAATACCAGTTCCTAATCGTTTACTTTTGCTGTTGGTTCTGATTTTTTATTATGCAATTTTTTCTTTGCCACTCTATAACATGACGTTGACAATATCTTCAAAATGCGTTTCCACATCACCATTTTGAGACAGGCTTTTTAGCTTTAATTGATCACGTTTGGTGTCAATACTCGAATACTTCCAAATATTAGTTACAATATTCTGTTTTAGTTTGAGAATCACTCTACCGCATAGAGTGCATTTACAGTTCACACCACTATAAATGCTATAAAATGATTTTCGCCCCTGATGTTCACCATAATATTCTTACACATATCTGCACATTAGACAATGAAATTTGGAAACGTAACTAGATTCCGAACTACACTTCTGTTATGATATAGATGCTTGTTGGTGTAAGTTCGTGTTAAGTATTGGACACGAACCCACGTGGTTGGAGCCACTTAAATTCATAAGTTCCAACCATAATCGAACTTTGACCTTCTCTACACGATACAGAAAAACTACGAGGAATGAGTATTTACATGCTACATGTTTCGTGAGAATTTCAACAAAACATGTGGTACATGTCTTTCTCTGATTCCGGGAAGAAAATCACCGATCCATGCAGGTTCCGCAATCCACTACTCTGTAGACAGATGGGAGACTTGCCTTCCAAGGATCTCTTCAGAGAGCTGAGCTTTTGCACAATCAAAAGACTAACAATTCTTTTTGCATGTAGTGAGTTTAATGCATTATATATCAAGCAAAGTCATTATATCTCAATGCTTAACATGACATTTCACATTAAAGACCTCTGAACCCTCAAGTCCACCATTGAGTTCAACTTTGCAGGTGAACAGCTTTTCAGGTCGACTTTCCAATTTCAGAAGGTGAAGATGAACAACTGTCCACACGGTTTGAAAACATACATTACATTCGCAAATAGTTACGGTACAGCAGTCAGTTCCAGTGTTCTGGGGGGTTCAAAGACACGCGCATCAATACATAGAAATCATCTGAGTACATGAGAGAAAGATTCGAGGAAGAAAAACTTTTTTCAAGAAATATAGCGACAGTCTCGCACGGCACACTTGCAACACATAGACAAGACAATGCAAGAACGACGTGAGCCTTCAACGTCCACATAACAAACGGCGGAATTGCACCTGAATGTAAGGTGTAATTATACAACTCACTGACCGTCTTCAGATATTCTATTTTTCTCATTAACCTGGATACTACCCATAATATACAATACCTTGAAACCGACAGCTACTAACAGTTTATTCAGCAGATTACATCCCTTCCACTTCTGATTCTGCCAGTTGTTGGTGTAGAAACCCAAGGATTGACAACCTCTGCAAATATAATCACAATTGATCAGAAATTTTAACTGGCACATTGTTTCTAGTAAACAAAATTCTTCGCCTAAACAATTTGTAATACTATCAAATACAAAACACAACCGCAAAACCACAGAAATGCACAAAGGTTTAACACGAAATCAGATCAACTCAGTACCAACATCAGGACAGTTTATTTGCCTAACCATCGAATTAGACTGGTTAAAAAAAAAGAGTAGCTCCATTATAATGGTGCAGTCATTACGACACTATATCTGAAGTTTTGGATACAAAACAGCACAGTAATCAAGATTAGTAGTAAGCTTTTCAGTCAAAAGCGGGGTTCCAGAGTTTGACAAACCACCTTCTTCTCTAAGACTGGACAGTCTTCACCATTGGCAGGAGAAAAGTCTTCCAATGACTTCACAGCTTCTTGGAAACCCTTACGACCAGCTGTCTCATCTCCCAAAGCCCGATTTACGTCGGCAACTTTGGCCAAAGATATGGCGACATCAAGAACCTGCCATATCACACAACATCAAATGAAATAAATCTCAATTCAGCTAAACACTCATCCTCTTCAAGTAGAACACGAGTGTGCCAGTTTACAGACCCAAGACATTGTAATAAGTTGTAACTATATTGAAGGACTTGTTGAAGCTTGCAAAATGAGTGCTAGTGGCCTCAGATATACTTTGGATGATAGTTTCGAAAAGTCTGTTGCATTTTGGCGCAGTTGAAGTGCACGGGCATAATAATCACGAGCTGCAGTCAAGTCTTCAGCGTAGTATTTCAGATCTCCAAGTTTGTTCAATGATACGGATAGTGCATGAACCACCTGGAAAGAAAATTGGAGATTAACGCATGTTCAAGCAGCTCAAATTAACAACGCATTCCCTCCTTAGCATATGGCAAACGAGGTGCTTGTCTTATACACATATAGTGCTTGGGACAAACCAGACAACAAAACACAGAGAGATCTCTAAACGAGACGAGTTCTACAAGTAAAAAGATCATGCACCTCGTCATCCTGGTGAGACAATTTCGAGAGCATTTCCACACTTTCTTCATATTGAGCCATAGCACCATCGACATCCCCCATCGCGCGGCTGCAAAAAGCAAATCCTGTTCGTAAGTTTCAAAGGACGTGAACCCATCCAGACGTGAAGTTGGTTGTTTGCGTGGTTACAAATTTGTACTAAATCATGTTCATTTGAACGCTTGAGAGAGCAACTCTTGAGCATAAACGATACCGCTATGGGAGTCGTTCAGCAACTTTGTATGGGTTTTCGACCTGGTTTTAATTCAAATCATCAGGAGTGTGGCAGGTGTAGGGTTGTTGTGTGCCAGCAGGAACAAGCAGCATACCGTTCACGAGTACACAATTTAAATCTTAGGTAAGGATGAACAGAGGGCAATGAAGAAAATGCTTTCGAAGAACAGTTTTGTGATAAACATCAACGAAGTCATGGAGGGATATTCACAGTATATTTCTTCGTTAACAGAAGAGAAAAGGAATTATGATGAGTGAATAACATGCATCGGAGAATGAAACAAGACATTAACTTTTTTAGGGAATATGTAACAATAAAGGACACAAACTAGATGCTTTATGGGAAAAAAGAAGGAAAAATGAAAAAAAAAAAAAAAAAAACTGCACGACAAAGTTTACAGACAAGTGAGAGGAAAAAAGAAAAAAGAAAACAAAAGGAAAAAAAGTAAAGCACATAGTACTTCCAATTCTAAGGAAAACTAAAGAGAATGCAAGCCAGCAATTGTCCGCATACCCAAATGATCTGAAGGCTTGGAACAAGAATGTCTGATTAAGATGCACCTACCAGCAATCTCCCAGCATCCCAAGGACTGCTCCAAGTTGTGAACATACATCTACGGTAACACCACTCCTCGAAAGCTCCTCTCGTGTGTCTTGGGCACATATTGTCAATCTTGACTTGGCACTCTCGAAATTTTGAGCTTGAAAGGCCTGTGTACAACAGGCTCTTAAGTTAATACAAAATTATTCTATAATATCCTCGCCCAACCCCTAAACCAAAATCCTCTATCGCTACGGCACTAGATTTTTTTCTTCTGTTGAACTCTTCCTGTAATAACTGAAACTTCCCAAAACGTTCACGTAGAATACATAAACACACTACACACTCTTTGTCAGAAAGACCTAAGAGGAGCACCGAGAATAGAACTGTTGAACACAATCTATCATCCAGCTGATAAGTCAGTAGGACGTCAACGCTTAGCATACCCTCATGGCATGTTGAATCAAGAAGCTTCCTCTGGCCAAAGACACGTCCTCATAAGACACCACTTTTGAACGGGGGCTTTCCTCGTCTGTAGAGTCTCCATCAGTTTTAACAGATCGTTTAATTCGGGCATGTCCCTCAATGAAGCGCTCAACCGTCTTCTGGAGCTCTATGTCGGCATTAACTCCTTCAATGTCAGCTCCACAAATAACGCAATCCTGAAACTTTGAGATACAACCCCTGCGAAAGCCGATGATTCAATTCATCTCCTTGAACTCTCGATAGAACATTGGACAAAATGTAGCTGATGAAGGAAACGACTCCTGCTGAACGCTACCTCTCCAAATAAGAATACTATAATACGCTCAGTAATGCTTCACGCTAAACGCCTGTCAATATCCCCTTCTTGCTTTCGATAACCGGTATAGAGAGGAAGCCGATTAGACTCAAGTATTCTAAATTGAAACTCCAAACTGGAGACAATGACCATCTTTTCTTCAACCAACAAAAAAAAAACTTTCCTTGCTTTGAGCCCTCACACAACTTTCCTCATCGAACGATAGGCATTTGACAATGACCATAAGCAGAAGTCGAAAAGAAAGTCGTCGAAACGAACCGACAGAATATATGATCGCATGGTACACATCTGGCACTTTCATACAGTAGTGCTCGGCAGATAACACAACTCAGTGGACCAATCTTGAACGATCCAGAGTCGTAGCCATAAGGGCATTTTCCACCCTGAGCATCTGCCTCTTCCCTTTGACGCTCCTTCTCTACGACTTTCGAATCACTTTCTCTCGCACAAGCCTCGCTTCTCGATCTCTGTTCTGGACGCTCAGCGTCTTTGACACTGAGCCTGGCGAAGGGGCAGCCACTCATCCCTGCGGAGAGATGGAAGAAAAACACCCTGCAGAACAAAGCACTCGCCTACACCCAAAGTCACACGCATTCAGATCTTCCCACGGCGCTAGTTCACTAGAGCACAGTCCACCTGCTCGAAAGCAATCCCTTGGACGAAATTAAATCCCGAGAACTCATAACTGAACCAATTCAACGCTAGGGGTTTACGACTACGACCACGACCGAGAACACAGAAAATTCGCACCCCGAAACAAAGAACACTCAATTCTATTCCCTTCCGACGCCTCGTCCGTGCCCTCCCACGAATTGGACGCGGATTCGGACCAACCGCAATGCGATTCAATGGCAATAGAATCTCACCTGAAACTCAATCAATCCGACGCAATTATGGATACACGTCGTCCAGGCGATACAGCTTCTGCTCCTCTACCAGAGCGCAGCGTTTCTATGCCAGTCGGAGAGGCAGAGAGATGGTGGAAAGCGAAATAACTTATCCTTGCTCGAAAAACGAGGTTCCCACTTGGGGCCACATCAGCCTCGGAGCGCCGAATAATGCTCGCCAATTTCTTCCCGTACCGCCCAATGTCGTCCGCAAAGATTCAGCGCTTTACGGTCGAAAAATCACCCGCTGGCCACTGCGATTTGATATCCTTGGTTTCCTTCTTTACATCCATCAGATTATTTTTATTTTCATTCTTGTAGACCCCTAGGAACTCAGAAGAGCCTAGGAGTATGCGACTGCACACATTACATGCTCCAATGAAAGGTAAATTCTTACATGAAATAAATTTTATTTCCATCTTTTCTTAGAATATGGCATACCAATTGCGTGCATCTGAATTTGTGCTAGAGTTGAAGGTCAGGTAGATGGACAATGTGCTCGCCTTGGATGCTCCCGCATCCGCATAGACTCCCGTTGCCTCGATCACGACGATGAATCTCATATATGGTGTTCTCTTCCAAGGGAAAATGAACATGTAAAGTATTTAATACAGAGAAGTAATATCATGAAGAATGTCTAAATTTCAAATAATGAAATTCTTAAGTGGTTATAATCTAGAATAAATTCAATGATCGAAGGTTCAAAACTTTCAGATAAATTTAATTGTGATCTTTCCAACATATCATTGTCACAATATCCATCTGCAAACCTATGTCTAGTGGCAGGTTGTTGAATACGGTAGGTATAGTGCAATAGTTTTCACCACGGATGGCAGGCAAGAGTAAGCTGTTACTTTGTCACCAAAATCATATATACATGCTTTGAGACTTAATAATCGTTTTGGTAATGCAAACACATCATGACATGGAATGATAGCAAAGTCAAAGATTTTAACATATATTTCCATCTATTTAAAAAAAACTAAATCTCTTTGTATGTTGGAGCATTCAACATACAAAGGGATTGAATTCTTCGTATATTGTGAGTATATTATGTTGTATGCAATGAGTCTCCATATGGATGTTCATGAGAATTGTTATCTATGTGCTCTTGCTATGAAAAGAGATTGGCATCGGATTATGAGAAATGAAAGTCGTAAAGACTTGCGCAAGGCATACCTTGTACCTAACGAGTTCTAGGGAGAGAGTGTGATCAATTGTTTGTCAAGTACTCTATTTGTGATTACATTGAGAATATCGAGTATTACAAAAAGATGATGATCAATTGTTTGTTAAGTACTCCATTTGTGATAGCATTGAGTTGCAACCGTCTCTACTTGATGATCATAAATACATGTGATATAACCGTCAAAGAAAAATCAATCAATGAGCAAACATGTTGGTAATGCAAAAGTCAAGTGTTCTAAATGCAAGCAATCACGACACAATGTCATACATGCAAAAGAAGAGCCATTGGAGAAATTGTAGACATTTTGGATGAGTAGGATGTTGAATCAAGTGACTATCCATATTTTGAAAGTGTGCAGATGTTAGAAGTGCTTTAGACCAATACTCCAACATGTTCAATTTGGCTAAGTTCAACGGACATTTATAATGAGATCAAAAAAATATCTAAAAGTTACATTGAAGAAACTATTAATGATCCCTGTAGTGATAGCATTCAAGTATATTATGATGAAAATAACAACGATGATATGAATAATTTGATGGAATTATAAGCCAAGGACTATAGTTGAGAGAGATAGTTGGATGTTTTCTTGAAACTATTGAACGCTCATACATTGAAATATGGACAAGATATATTTAGAGATGATATTGATCTATTCAGCATTGATAGCATCTAATCTTGCAAATACTTTCCTTGGTAAAACAGACTATGTTAAAATGTCAATGTCCACATTATTATTCTAGTTCTTCACTCCCTGTATTCATTTGTGTTCTCTTAATAATCATGTGTTGTTATACTTGTCATTCAGCTCGTATTGGACTTGTTGGCAAAGGAATTTTTTTGCTTTAGTCTTCATTCAAATATATTACTTTGTGTTGGTTTGACATGTTTTAAACAATTTATTTCTTGTTAAATATTGAAGCTCACAATAAGGCTTCATAGTATTAGTATTGTTTGAACTTTAGTCATATCTCGAGTACTTGGATATGATTTTGTCAATAAACAGTGGTTGCATCTATATGTTGGGATTTTTACTCCTCTAGTTTATCTTGACGCATGTAACTTGAAACTTTTCCATTGTGTTTAATATTAATTATCATATGATAGAAAACACATTTTGCAAAAAAATTAATTAATTACATTTCCTGATAAATTGAAGTTGCATTGCTTCGTTTGGCATTATTCACTCCTGAGAATACTATATCTTAAACAAAAAGAGAATTTAAAAAGGTAAGCTTATGAGGTTTACTAACTAATAATTTGTCTTTGCGAGAGTAGATATGAACTTGTATAATTATGTTTTTGGATCTGAAAACTTCACTATCTTTTACTTCAACTCTAAAAACATATTTATGGCTAATGCATCTGCATTTGCGTGCACTATAAGAAGCTAAGATAAAGAAACGTACAGTTCACTAATTTTTGTTGAGTACTTTGGAATAGTCATTCTTCTTCCTCTTGAAATCAGCAACCACAGCTATATATTGCAGCCATGGATAGATAAGTTTTTCAATCACTTATCCCACCAATACCGTTTACATCTATATGAGTCTCTAACCGAAACTGATGTGATCAAGTGTGGTGCAAGCTAACAAATATTGGCAGACGATATATGAAAAGTTGTTATGGACAAAATCAAACACAATTCAACTTAACAACAATTTGTTAGTATTCATGCTTGCTCTTCAATTTTGATACTTCTTCATATATAGTAATCTTTACGGTGTCTATGTTATTCATGAGGGTGAGATATCAACTTTAATTACATGTCGTTTTTCTTTAAAGTTTTTTGTCGTTTTTTTATTGTTTACTAATCAACTCGCTAATGTGTCCATATACTATTGACGGTAAAGATTCATTTTGATATTTTTCCGTTATAACAGAGTGATTTAAAGTTAGTCAACGTATTAAAGGATTCATTACAGTTAGGGAATTTCAAAAAAAGTTGATTGTGAAAATTAGTAAACACATTGAGAGGTAGAAAATCATTTGTGAGGAAATGTTTGTCTTGCTCGGAAAAGAAGAAAGATTTTATGTATATCTCACCAGATTGAAATTTTGTAAAGATGATGAGAAGTAAAAGTTTGAGTACATTGATCTTGGTTATATACTCAAACCATCTTCATTGAGTAGTTTACGGGGACTAGGCTTTTAAGTTGAACCTCGTCAACAAATTCTTCTGTTTGTTATTGTGTATGGACTGTAATTTTTCTTGGTTTTAGAAATTCCAATTACTATAGTGATATTAGATCATTGTATTATCTATCTTGATTTCATAGCTATGTCAATTTTCTTTCCGGCGCTCAATTCATTCAAGCAATTTTGAAAGCATCAAATCGTCGTGCAAAGCCCACCGGCAAGCTAAGAAGGAGCAACGATCTTTCACAGCAAAGCACCAACACCAATTTGTCACAACAAAGTGTATAAAAGCTCAATTTTTAAAATTTTGGCAATGAAAATCGATCTCAAGAAATTTAACGTAACTAGTAATTTTTGCATCTAGCACTAGAAAATCTTAGCACTAATATAAATCAAATCATCAAAAATGCCAAAAGATTTGAACGCTTCTCGCTCAATAAAGATTGCACGGGATCATCTCCGATCATGTGCCATGGCCTAATAACATAATCCAAGATCAAAAAGAAGTAATGTATGTGACGTACATGGATACGAAAATTTTTCACCTATTTAATTTGATTATTCTTCTAATTGACAAGGAAGACACACCAACAAAGATGTGGAAGAAATTTGAGGAGATATTCAATCTCGCTCTCTCTCCAACAAGATCTACCCAAACGAGAGGCGCTTTGAATTCAAAATGTATCAGAAAAAGTCATCAAAAGCCAACTTAGACGAGTTCTTGAAATTACGATCAAGCTTGCAAATTCCGGTGAAAAGGAATAGCTCAACGACGAGAACACGACAATCATTATTTTCAATTTCCTTTCAAAAACATATAGGGGTGAAATCGGCAATCAATGGAAGGTCATCGATCACCCTAGATGAAGTGATATTTGTGCTCAAATCCAAAGACTTGGAAATCAAAGTAGACAAAAAGAATTTCTAGTGAAGGCATGAACCAAATGGCTTATGGCAAAAAACAGTGAAGAAACATTGATAGAAGCAACTCAAAGCTAAAGAACCACGGCAAAGCACCTACAAAGACCAACAATCGAAGTACTAATCCCAACGGCGATACGAAGTGTTTCTATTGCAACAAGATGAATCACGTCAAGAGGTATTGTTACCCATCAATTAAGAAAAACAAGGAGAATCAAGGTAGCACATCACAAGGTCAACAAGATTTAGTAAACTTTGATGATGGCTACAACAACAGGAAATTTTTTCATGGCGTCAAGAAATCTCAAGGCCTCGGACTCAATTCTTGAATCTGGTTGCATCTATCACATGACACATAACAAGCATTGAATGTCAGACTACCAAGAATAGTAATTAATAATAAATTAATAATGGCTAACAACCATTCTTGTTATGCTGTTGGTGTAGGACATGTTAGCATTTAGATGATTGATGTTGTTATGAAAATTCTTGAAAATATTAGATGTACTTGAGTTGTATAAAAAGCTCATCTCATAAATGTCAATACATTTCACATGAATCGGATTATACTAACAAGATAGAGCAAGTCTCTAAGTATATTGCAAAAGGTATTATTATTTTGAACGAAATAAAGATAGCCAATCTTTATTGTCTCATCAGAGAGATTTTTCATGGAGATGCGTTAGTTGCCACTATCCAAAATGACAGCAAAGCTATAAAATGGCACTAAAGTCTCAGTCATATCAATGAGAAGGTTCTACAATGATGAGCAACCAGAATTTGCTCGAAAAGAACAAAGTAAGCAAACTTGATTTGTCCAAGCATTGCATTTTGGCAAAACAACGGAGGCAAAAATCCTACACAAGTCCTTGAATACATTCACTCAGATTTGTGGGGACCTTTAAGTACAACAACATATGTTGATAATTTTTATTTCTTATCTATCATTGATGACTTCTTTAGAAAAGTTTA